AACATTGAGGCTTTTATGGCCTTTCCAGAGCTCCAGGACTAACTGACACTACAGCATAGAATTGGGCACACTTAGCACTGATCTGTGCTAAGATACTACAGTAATTATTAAACATGGCTGCACACATGGTAGACTTTGGATCACATTGCAACAATTACCTGGACACTGACATCCAAGGATAAAACATTGTATTTTATGTGGTTTGTTATCACTTGCATATCCAAACACTCTTTTGCTGATAACAGACTCCTTTCAAATGTGCCAAAATATAATATAATTGTATATAAAACAACACAACAAAGAAAGGTTATACTTATTTTGCATTCATGTTATATTAGTATTTATTATTCTTTCTATTATTATTTTCACTTTAACTCTTTACTACCTGATACCAAATATGCAGGCTAAAGGAGGCCTGCAAAATCAGTAATGTCCAACTTCTATACCGTGTTAAAATATGTCATAAATATTAGTCCAATAAATCATAAGACCATAAAAGATAAACTGAAGCTCATTAATAGAGCACAGAAGTGAAGGAAGGTGGAGTTACCGCCCATGACAACCAATCAGATGTTAGTTTCAATTTTAAAAACCTGCAATAAAAAAAATAACACAAGGACTCTAAATGGCTGCTATGACTGGCCTCCCTGTTGCACCTTTTCTCTATAATTTAAACATTATTTCCATCAAAGAACATATCTGTTCTGTCATACAATAAGCTAAAAATGTCCTCATTGATAAATCTATCCGTTAAAAGCCATAAAGAATATCATTCAAGACAATAGACGGGCCTGTTATATAATACATGCTAATATAAGTAATATCCTGGATCAGCAAAGAATATACAAGCTATACAAACTGATGCATGGCAGAGCTTTCCCTGCATTTATAGTAAGTATAGCAGACATTGTCTAGTTATCATGTCCTATTTATGTGCTATTTTTATGATCCAAAATAAAAAACTTTTTCAAAATGCCTCTTAACTCTATTTTCTAACAAAACGTTAAAGGACAAGACAGAGATGCCCATTATTATTTGCTAGCATCAATCTAATTTAAAAAACAAAAACAAATACATTGTCCCAATGTTTCTATCAAATGTACCACCAGGAGATAAGGCCAACGTTGGTATACTTTCTAATATTGCAGGCAGAGTTTTCCATTTTACTCTTACTGCTACTTTCACAGGAGTTCGGCACAATTTAGTGTAATCAACAATATTTAGTTCAATACAAATTAGATTATTACCTACGATTGCATACTTCCCTACAATGTGTCCTTTTAATTTAACCTTTAATAACCTTTCATAATATGGATGGTTTACTGGGTTTAAAACAAATCTAAAAAACTGCAACATTTTTCAATGTATTCCTATTTGATAACATTGTACAAAGAGTAATAATGTACAGTATACTACCACAAAAAATAAAACAAAACAGAAATCAGCTTTCAGCAACTTAGAGTGGACAGGATGATCAAAATAGATATCTAGTTACTACCTCTGGTTAGCTAGGGTTACTACACACCATGGGTTGTCTTAGACTTATTGCCTGATCTGCTAGATCTGGCTTTGTCCGGCATTCCCGCTCAGCTCCTGGCAACCGGTGATGTCAGTGAGCTGGGCAGGACATCACTGGTTTCTCCCTCCCTGGTACCGTGCATGGGTGTCCCTAGACATTTCCCTACCTAAGGTGGGGGTGCGGATGAGGCATGGTTCCCAGGGGGGTGGGTGTTGATGGTGCATGATACCGGAGGGGGTAGGGGATGTACAGAAGGTGCACAGTACCAGGAAGGGAGAATATGGTGCTGGCACATTACCTTGGGTCTAGATCTGGCTCTGTCTGGCGTACCACTCAGCTCACTAACATCACTGGTTGCCAGGAGCTGGGCGGGACACCGACCAGAGCATGACAGGTTGCTAAGAGCTCAAACCCACGTGACCGCAACCGCCTCAGGCTGCCTCATTATAGAGACAGCCCTGCTACACACCATTGCTCTTCTGAATATGTTAATAAACTCAGTATTGTAAAATTGTCTGTAAACCCAGAAAGAAAACTGCTTCAATGGCTCACTCTTCATAAGTTCAATACTGTTATCTTGGATATTTGTAATTCTACCTATCCAATTAGTTAAAAATGCCTAATGATCCTGCCAGTTTCAATTTGTTCCTGATGCTTTCTGGAATAGGGTGGCAATACTAATCACAGATTCCTTCCTTACATTGTCACTCTGACGTGCACGCGCCTCTATGTGGATTACAGCACGTTCACACCATGCCCGAATCATGTCCAGACCAGAACAGTTTGTTCCTGGACCAAAAAAACATCCCAGTATATCCCTATGGTATTTCTAGGCTCTGTTCACACGAGCGCAGTCCGTTCCGGTCCAACAAAAAAATAAAAACTGCTTGTTTCATTTTCTCTGGTCTGCAACACACTGGAACGCATGCCAACGCACTGAAACACACTGACTGCACCTGGAAGACCATTTTAAGCTAAAAAAAAAACGTCAGCAAAAACGCACTGCGTTTGCAGATCTGCTCCAGATCTGGTCCAGACATGGTGTGAACATAAACTTCAGGTTTCATAGTTACTGCAAAAGTCACAAGGGAACCTGAAAGTTGCAGTTAGGAAGCCAACAGCAATGTAATCGGCATTGGCAACCACTCCAACAGCAGTACAGGGCCCTTCAGCACTCTAGACAAAAAGGCCAAAGTCCCCCCCCCC